GCAGTCTTTACTGGGATCATAACAAGTCACTCATTTCTGTTATTTTTAAAATAGTTAAAGTGTGACACACTAAGACAGAAAGGGCACACGATTTTATGCATTTGAAACAATATTAAGCCACTGTACAAAGTTTGATCAGTGCAATCTACTATACAATATAATCCAACACCCAATTAGGTTTAAGGTAAAATGGGAATAAAGATGCCCGACTGAAGCACACTACAGAGTATACTAAAGAGCTAATACACTAAGATAAATCCTGCAAATTTCTCAGCAAGCTTCCCACTTTTCACCCACACCACCAATGTTACTGACATGGTGGATCACCAAATCTCATCAAAACTTTTCCAAGGGTTCCAGTTTCTTCTCTTGCTTCAGAACTAGAAATCCTAGCTTCAGAACTCCCTCAGATGCCACTCTGTCATAGGCTGCCTAAACAACTTTTGGCTTTTCTTCCCTAGGACTATGCTTTCCCCGGATTCTTGCAGATTGACTGGAGCATTTATTCACAGGCACAACTCCAGCTTTACACTGATGGTGGGGTGGAGGGGAGTAGGTCCACAGCTAATAATGTTACTAGTGATTAATATTGATTGTACAATTGATTTTTTACTTGTGATACGGAGGAGTGGTCATCACCTCTCTGATAATTAAAACCAAAACACTCAGAGAAGCTTGCTTCACCTCATTAATCTGTTAAAGGAAGGGTGAAAAGTGGCACAACCTGTCTCTCACATCCAATCTGTTATAAAGGAGTGGTTAAATGGAAGAAATCCCTGATACTCACTTTACAAGCAACAAGTAGTAATTTATTTATCCAACTCTAACAGTGAATAAATTTACAGAACTACAAATAAACCAAAAAATTCCCCTCTTAACTACCAACTATTCCCGAATAAAACAAAATTCTAATGGTATGCTGTTCCAATAAATATAATTCCCACTTATATAAACCAAAGTAAAAAGAAAAAAAATTAAAACTTAATCTCTCGAAATTACATCCATGATAAGTCTTCTGGAATGTTTTTTGCCTTCTCTGCTGTCTTCCATTCAGGAACGCCTTTCTCCATCGAATTCGTGTGTCAGGAATATTAGCTAAGAGTGCAGTAGTACCTTTATTTAGATGGTGCTTAATCTGAGAGTTAAGCGATTTTTGTGAGAACCAGTGATTCTTTCAAACTTGAGAGCTGTTCTCTTGACAGATGACAGTTGACTCTCACCTCAATTTTGAAATGCCCTCTTCTTTTATCCCCTTGATGACCTATTAATTTCTTATAATAGGATTGTTCCTAGGTTGTCAAAACCATCAGATTTAAATTTAATTGGGTTTTTGTATCTAGGGTCTGGTTTAAATTAATTCGCTAAATTCAAAAACCTGTTTTCTTGGTAAAAATGCTGCTTTGCCTGGTAACAGTATAGCCTTTTAATACAATGTTTCAATTTCAAGAACTCTCTGTGCATCAAGCCTGAAAAAAGTTATCTTTTAAAGGGACCACACACTCTGCCCCCCTATCATTTTACAAACATCAAATAGTCTACCCAACTTCACAACACTTGACTTAATCAAAGCACAATCATACAAAGGAATACAGCGAGGAAGAATAAGAAAACCTGGCAAAAAATTTACAGACAATCTGTAGCAATTATTCCAAAGGCTAAACTTGTTCATCACTTGTAAATATTAATAATTATGTTTTGACAGATTATAAATTACAGGGATTATGTTCCCCTAGTAATTGGTAAGGATGCAACAGAGAAATATCTCCGTCAATACCAAGGTTACAATGCGTCAGTAGATCCCAGGCTGTCTAATGTTTTCGCTACAGCTGCAATGCGCTTTGGGCATGTCACGATCCAGCCAATCATGAAACGTTTTAATGAAAAATACCAGGAGGACTCAAGGTATCCCAGCATGCTCCTACATGACACCTTCTTCGCTCCAGGGAATTTAATTGGGAAAGGTACTCAACATTATTTTTCCCCCTTGAAATAAGCAGCAGTTCAGATTACTATAGAATATCAACCAATTCAAATTATTAATGCACTTCTGGTTATGTGAGTGCTGTATTATAGAACAACGGTCTAATTTTAGCTTCCAGAATTAATAAGCAGCTCTCCCAGATAGATAAAATTGGAAACAGTATGCTACTGCCCCATCAAGCACTCATGTAAATCACAGGTTAGATACAGAATAAATTTCTCTCTGCCTTGTTGCATCAAACACTCACAACCAGGTATGGCATGAGTTAGAAATGTAAGTTGGAAAGTACAAGATCAGAAATGAAACTGAAGTCTATCTGACAACATGTTCTATTTTTAACAGCAAACTCTTTTCATATCCTTACACAATATAATTAAATGTATGACATATGTATGTATTTGCACTAAAGATTACTCTCAGTCATACACTAGCTAATACATACACTAACCTCTATCAAGTAGTTAAACCTAAATTATTTCTGTATATCTCCTCTGAGTCCAGATTTTATATGTACCGCCTTCTCATTACCATCCCTCCCACAATGGGGCAACAAGTGGGTGTAGGAGTGACTATAAAATGGTGCACTATTGTGTCACTCAGGTAATTGACACCCACAATCGAACAATTGAATATGATGAGAATCATGGCAGTGGTATCTTCCCCAGCATCTAACCAACCCCATGGATATTTTACAATAGCAAGGGCTATGAGTGGCAGGCAGGAAAATAAAGACCACAATCAGAAGAATCTTTGTAAATGTTGGTGTGTTTGCCAAGCTGGGAGGTTTGATAGCAGACGTTTCGTCTCCTTACTAGGTGACATCCTCAGTGCTGTGGAGCCTCCTGTGAAGTGCTGTTGTATTGTGCTGGTTCGAATTTATATGGTCTGGTTTTTGCTGCTTCCAGTAGGGATCGGCTCTGGTTGTGTGTTGTATTGGTCGGTATATCGGGTCTAATTCAATGTGTTTGTTGATGGAGTCTGTGGATGAATGCCAACCCTCCAAGAATCTCCTGGCTGTCCTCTGTTCAGCTTGCCCTATGACGGTAGTGTTGTCCCAGTTGAAAGTGTGGTTTTTCTCATCTGTGTGTATTGAAACCAAGGACATCTGAGCTCCACAGCACTGAGGATGTCACCTAGTAAGGTGACAAAACGTCTGTTATCAAACCTCCCAGCTCGGCGAACACACCAACATCTACAATCAGCACCCGAGCTACAAATCTTCACTCAAACCCTGAAGAAGAATCTTTACCACATTGAATGGGGGAGCTGGTTCAACAGCCAAAATGGCTGATCACTGCTCCTACTTGTTGTGATCTTACTATGTAAATGATTTAAAACAAGTCAAAACTGGTGTCAATGTTATCCCTTCCCCACATAACTCCATATCGCCCTCTGTTTCAATTATTTACCCAATATTCTTGTAAGTGATGCAATTATCCCCATCTAAGTTGCATTGCAAAGCCTTCCATGTATTTATAATTTCCTACATAATAGAAACTTCACTCTTCGATCAAAAATTCAAAATGGACAACCCTTCATCACTGTCTCCCTAACTAGACAAAGTAATCCACTCTTCATTTTATCAAAACCTTTCGTAATTTAACAATTAACTTTACTAAATCACCTCTGAGTCTCTTCTCTGCCAGTGGAAATCGACTCAGATTATTTCATTGTACCCCTCTGTTCTATAGTCACCTGTCTCAGATTAAATCTGCCATATATTCTTTTGTGTTTTAATATCTTATTACATCACTTCCCAAAGCTAATCTCAGTACTCAAACTATGGCCTAGCCAATTCTTTGTACAAATTTACAATTTATTTCTTAACTTTTGAACTCTATGCCCTTATCTACAAATACAAAATACAATCAGTTTTTTTTATGGTTCTAACAATCTGATCTTACTTCAAGGGAATTAAATTTGAGTGCCCATATCCCTCTATTCATGTCCTCTCTTCAACGTCCTTCCATCAAGTCTTGGTTGAATCTCTCCCAGAATCTTTACCTTACATTTATTCACATTAAATCAGAACTGCCACTCTCAACCTATTCCATTTAATCATTGGCAGTAAGTTTTTGTCTTCTTCACCTGGGCAATAATCTGGTAAAGTGGTCCCCCCAAAATTGCCCAGCCATCCAGGCATCCTATCCATCTAATAATCTATTGCATTTTTAACTCAACAATATCAGTGGAATGATAGAGGCATCTTTCTTCCCTCTCATTGCTCACATATCTTTGCTTATTTGCCCTTACTTCCTGAGTGACTCCCCCGTTCCACTCTCCACATTTGCTTTCTGTACAGATTAATATAAAATATATCTGCAGTGACCCATCAAATCCTCCAAAATCAGACAGAAGTCAATTGCAGTGTATCTGATCAGTAATTTTGATTTGTACTAATACTGATGCACAACTTCAAGTTCTAGGTTAGCAGCTTAAAGGTGAAGATTTAAGAAGATGTAAAATGCAAAAATAGCACAGCCAGTTGCAACCATTCTACTGAAAAGAATTAAGAATTAAAATCAAAATAGAAATGTGTTTAAATTTTTAGGTGGAATTGATCCAATCATTCGGGGCTTGTTTGGTTACCCTGCCAAATTGCAGTCTCAAAGCTCCATGATGCCAGATGAACTGCGTGAGAAGCTGATTGTACCACCACAACATATAGCCCTGGACCTGTCTGCCATAAACATACAGCGCTCTCGGGACCATGGGCTTCAAGGTAATAGAAAATAACTACAGTGGAAAGCTGGTTTGCTAATTCAGCTCTTTCAGTTTCAAGTGTATTTGTTGATGATTTTACTGCCTCTCTGCACATTCTGATTATAAATCACTAAGCACAAAATCCACATGGATCAGCCATCACATTGAGAAATAGCCTTGTTTGTGCTTAATTTGAAATTAGTAAAATCTGCATACTTTGTATTTTCTTGCACTAATTTTGCCTTGTATTTTAAATCCAGGTTACAATGCATGGCGAAGGTTCTGTGAACTTTCTGAGCCCCAAAATATTGTGGATCTTTCTCTCGTTCTTAATAATATGGAACTTGCAACTAATCTCCTTAACTTGTATGGAAGCCCGGATAACATTGATGTGTGGGTGGGGGGCATCTCAGAACCCTTCATGGAGGGTGGCAGGGTAGGCCCTTTGTTCGCCTGTTTGATAGGACAACAATTCAAGAACCTGAGAGATGGAGACAGGTAAGAGAAGTGTTGAGACTTTCAAAGTGATCAATTTGTATACCTTGTTGCACTCTTCTCATTTCAATGAAATAGTTTTGCTCTCGAAGTTGCCGAAATTTTGTTTCTCAGCGATTAATGAAAACATGGATCAAAGGTTGGCATTTCTAGCACTAACTCTTCCATCTCATCCACTACTCATCTCACATCTACCACCATAACCTTCAGCATCACCACACCCAGCTCCTTTGCAACAACATTAGTATCATGTTTAGCACATCCTTTCAACTGCAGTTTCTAGAATTTCAGCCATTTCCAACATTATCACGATTAAAATTACCATTGGATCCTTGACCCATACGTCCTTGTATTGATGAATATTTGCAACCCCAACCCTTGACAAACAGACATGGAATGCCAGAGGAGGTTTGTGGACCATAAAAAAAGCTAGCTTCTCTTCCCTTTTCCCTTTCAGATCAGAAAGCTGTGGACCATGAGCCTCATGTCACAGATCTGCTGAAAAATGCGACTGTGAAAGTGTTATTTCCTTCACATGTATGCCACATTTCAGGCCCGAGACCCATCAATAGGCCTCCAGGCTTTGGTAATGCAAGAGTAGGTGTATCTGTACCAACCCAGGTCCCATGTGACAGATGCAGAGTCTGAACTCCTGAGTTAAGAAAGACTTAGGCAAGTCAACATGATGAACTATTTCAACATTTTAATATATCTGAACGCATTTATTCCTATATAATGTCTTTTGATCCCATATATTAACCATAGCTGAGAGAATAGGTGAGGACTAGTTCTCAATGCCCTTTAGTGCTAACAGGTATAAACTGCAGAATAGAACAAGAAAGCAGTTGTTATGATGGAGTTAATAAGAACTGTCGATGCTGGAATCAGAGATAACACAGTGTGGAGCTGGAGGAGCACAGCAGGCCAGGCAGCCTCAGAGGAGCAGGAAAGTTGATGTTTCGGGTTGGGACCCTTCTTCAGAAAGAGTGTCTTCCACGTCTCTTGGAAATGTCCCAAATTCTTCACATAGATGAATGACATTGTAGAGTGATTGTTGCAAAGCTAACAATTATTCCCAGTGAAATTTTAAAAGTACCAATATCTGGTTAGTCTTTCTTTGTTGGGATTGTTTGAGAGATAAATGTAGGCCAGAGCACTTACATCCTTCTGAATAATCTTGTTCTTTGTGCTTCAGATTCTGGTGGCAAAACAAAGGCGTTTTTACTGCTAACCAGCAGCAGGCTCTTCAACATATTTCATTCTCCAGACTGATCTGTGAGAACAGCAAGATTGAAGAACTCCCTCGGGATGTGTTTAGGTACAGGCCATATCCAGAAGGATATGTCAAGTGCAAACATATTCCACGGGTAGACCTGAGTGCCTGGAAAGAGAATACTAATGGTATGACACTGTTGGACCTTTCCTAGGATTCTGACCAAAGATATTGGGTTCATTGTGTTTCTCCTAAAACTGGGTTAGTGACTGATGATAGCTAATAAGCAGTTTCAACAACTGTGCTGATATATGATAGATTGGACATAAGAGATTCCACATTAGGCAACCTTATTTCTATTGCCTTCTTTTGTTTTCTCCTAAAATGTCAAGATCGGCCCTGCAATGTGCTAAAAGAATACAGATCAACTTAATGCTGCGTGGAGGCATCCAGTTCTCTGGGAATTGATGTACCAGTGCATCTTTAAGCTCTGAGCAACCATGTCCGATAATGCTGCTTTCACCAGTCGTAATATTTAATGTCAGGATGTTCAGAATGAGACTTGATATTTGAGACCTACAAAGCATATTGTGAATTCAACTAAATTTTTAACATGCAATTGACAGAGGGGGTTTGTTTAAGTGATTGTGTTAAATGAAATAAAACTCGTAAAACTATCATTGACTCTTGAAACAGGTTTTGCTACTATCTCCTCAAATTGAAAAGAAACCAAAACATTGAATAACATAACTTTAATTCTAGTCCTTTAATCATTTGGTGTCGACATTCTAATAGAAATATTTCTCCTCAGGAAACATCCTCCAGGTATCCATCTTATATAGACCTCTCAAGATCTTCTTTAAAACGAAAGATCACCTGAGATTCTTCTAAATTTCACTGGATACAGGTCTAACCTATTCAGTCTTTTTTTCATACAATTAGATTTTTTTTCCCAGGAATGAGTAAAGTAGGCATCTCCAATCTGTTTCTAAAGCAATTACATTTCTTTTTTTCCTAAAAAGGAGACAAAAACTTGCCACAGCAACTTCGCAACTCTTTTCCCTGCCAAAGGTTCATTCATACCCACATTATATTTCATCTTCCAATTTTTTGCCCATTCACTTAACCAGGCTGAGACTTGCTACCTCCACTTAGTGTTCAGGGAGGTGTAGATTAGGTGGGTTATAGGGGGATGGGTCTGGGTGGGATGCTCTGAGGGTCGGTGTAGACTTGTTGGGCCGAAGGCCCTGTTTCCACACTGTAGGGATTCTATGATGATTCTTACTTTCCTACATTGGAAATTTAAATATCATACATGCAGTCCCATCGTCCAAGTAATTGGTATATATTATAAATAGTTGAGGACATTAGTTGGGCCATGGCTGGAATGATGTGTGCAATTCTCCTCACTACACTGTATAAAGGATGTGATACATCAGAGAACATGCAGAAGAGATTCAACAGCATGTTAAAAAAAATCTGGAATTAAGATTCTGACAATGACCGTGAATCCAATGTCAATTTCAGAAAAAAAACATCTGGTTCACTAATATCCTTCAGGGAAGGAAATCTGCCATCCCTACCTCATCTAGTGTACATGTGACTCTAGACCCACAGTAATGTGATTGATACTTAACTGCTCTCTCAGCAATAAATGTTAGCCTAGCCAGTGATGTCCTCATCCCATAAATGATTTCAAAAAATGTTGCCGAGACTAGAGTAATTCAGCTATGAAGAGAGATTTGATAACTGGAGTAGAAAAGGCTGAGGTATACAAAGTTCTGAGGGGCATTGACAGGGCAGATAGGGAGAAAGTTGTCCCCTCTGTCTATTGTAAATGTCACTTTGTCAAAAGATTCTAATAGATTAATTAAACATGATCTCCCTCGCAAAGCCTGGTTGGTTCTGCCTGATCACATCACAATTTTCTAAATGAAAGCAAAGTATTACAGATGCTGGAAATCTGAAATAACAGCAAAGTGCTGCAGAAGCTCAACAGTTATAATAGCATCTGTGCAGACAGAAGTAGAGCTAATGTTTTCAGTTCAATATGACTCTTCTTCTGAGCTAATTCCCAGGAAGAGTAGTACTGGATTCAAAATATTATCTCTGTTTCTCACTTCATTGGCACTGCCAGTTTCCCTGGCACTTTCTGTTTTGACCTTATTAGTGTCCTGCCACAAGCTTCTTATTACTGAATTGTAGTATCTTCACTTTGATATATGTTAGGCTAACTGACTGGCCTTTCTAGTTTTGTGCTTTTAGCCTGCTTTTTTCTTGAGAAAAGCAGTTGCATTTGCTATTTTTCAATCCATTGCGACCTTCTGAAACTAAGGAACTTTGAAAAATTATAACCAAGCATCTATTATTTTGCCACCACTTCTTATGAGAGTTATTAATATTCACTTGCAATTCCACTAACCTATCTTTTAACCTAGTTTCACAGTTCACCCTAGTCAGTTCTGCCTTCATTGTTTCCTGTTTTCAGTGCACCTTCTTACTTGAGCAAAATATTTTATTTACTAGCTGTCTGTAATTCCTTTGTGTCAAATTTGACTTTGAGCTCAGGAAGGAGACAGAAGAACCCATGATCAAAAGACTGGTCAAACAAGTAAGTTTTACAGGACATCTTAAAGAAACAGATGCAGATTTGGAGAGATTTAGACAGGGAATTACAGATCTTAGGGCCTAGACAGATAAAGGCACTATCACCAATAGCAGGACAAAAGAATCTGAGGCTGCATAGGAGGTCAGAATTTGAGTGATGCAGAGTACTTAGATGGAGATCACAGAGATACAGAAAGGCAAGACTGTGGAGGAATAAGCATTTACTATACAAAATCTCAATTCAAATTAAGTCTTATCCATTTCCTTTTCCCCAGTATGCAAATTAGCCAAAAGGAATGCAATACTGATTAAGTCTCCTCATGACTCAAGTTGTCTATGCAAAGCCTATAAGTAAATCTTCTTTTGGTGTTACCCGAACTGGCAATTGCTGTGTAAGGGCATTAAGACCCTGGAGTAATATTGTGATGATGTCCTCACTGGGTATTAGCACCACAGTGTGGGTGGATTTAAGACAGAACAGAGAAAAACCTATGGAGAGCTAGGCAGAAGCCAGTCATCTAGCTTTGCTAAATGTTAGAAACATGTGCATGTGGTGTAGACCAGTTAGCATTAGGTGGTAGGGTTAATAGAATGGCCTCAATAATGTAATATGAAATTTCAGCCTGGGATATCACAGAATGCTATGTATTACAGTATTTAGTCTTAACATGCAATAAGCAGTGTTAGAAAGAAGCGCAAGGCTGAAGATAGTTCTTGGCCTTGCCTTCTTCTCAATCAATGTGGCTTGACCCAAATTCATGGAATAAAAGCAAAGTACTGATACTTGGAATCTCAGACAAATGTGGAAAATGCTGGAGAGACATGTCTGTGGAAAGAGAAACACAGATAACTTTTCTAGTCCAATATGACTCCTCAAATGTATGGATGTTGTTATTAAACCACTCAGTAAATCAAAATCATTCACTCTAGCATTTCAATAGCATTGTTTAGATTGATAGAATGAATTTATTAACGTTTTAATAAAGAATTACCGTTCCATAAAAATATGCAACAGAATGTTAGATTATACGGAAGCTGTGTTTATACTCAGGGAGCAAAGCTTAGAAATATTATTGTTTTATAACATTTACTCAAACACTTCCTCTATATTTAGACTTCCAATCTTGACAGCTTCTATTTGTTCCCTTTGCAGTAACCCCCTGTGGCTCTATCCCTGTTGTTGCTGATGCCCATTTCTCAATCTGTAAATCTTTGGTCAGATACACCTGTAACTCAGGGTTCAAGTTGATTGGAAAGGATACCCTAAAATGTTTGAATAACGGCCAATGGAACTCTGCACCACCTAGATGTACAGGTAAGAGCTGAAACCCAGTGCAAAAACTTTGAAATTAAGACTTGCAACTTTAATCAAACATTAATTGTTTATTAATCAAAGCAAACTGTCTGCTAACTTAAAAGGGAGTAAAGAAATGGTCAGAACCAGAATCAACAAAGATTCTTCCATGTCACATAACAATTTTGGTCAAATAGATAGGTTTTTGTAATAAGTGACTTAAAGGAGTAAAAAGAAGAAAAATATTTTTCACAGTCTGCAATTATCTGATAATTTCCCCAGAGGGTGGCCGCTGGAGGGGTGACCATGCTCTATCTTTGTGGAGAAAGTGCCAAATTTACACTGAGGATGCGGTATTCTATTGTGTAGCACAACTACCCCTGTGCTAAATGGGATGGATTCAGAACAGACCTAAAAGTTCAGAACAGGGCATTCTTGAGCCGGTGGGGAGCATCAGCCACAGAATAGTATTCGACAACAGCTTTTATACTCATGACCCAACATATTCCCTCACCCCACCACGACCATTCAGCTAGGAATTTAAGCCTGGATCAAGCAGGAGTTCAGGACAACATGCAGGGACAGCACCAGGTATTCCTAAATCGGAGGCACCTAGCTGGTAAAGCTATAACACTAGACTATATAGCATGTAATTGTAACATTTTATATTTAATAAAGAGGTTAATTTGACTTTTTTTAAAACCAAAAATGAATAGAGTATGTAAAATTGGCTGCAAGAAGTTGCATAACTGATTCTTGTTGATTCATATCAGCCAAGATTGTTTCTGTGCATGTGTGTATGTGTCTCTCTGTGTGTGACCATCTGTGTGTGTGTGTGTTTATTTTTGTGTGTGTGCACGCATGTATCTGTATGTGTGTGGGTACACATGCATGTGTTTCTGTGTGTGCATGGGTCTGTTTGTGTGTGTCTGTGTGTGTGTGCATGTGTGTGTGCGCGTGCGCATGCATGTGTCTGCATGTGTGTGTATGCGTCTGTGTTTGTATGCACGTGTGTGTGTGTGTGCACATGCATATGTCTGCATGTGTGTGTGCATGCGTCTGTCTGTGTGCGTGTGTGTGCATGTGTCTGCGTGTGTGTGCATGCGCATTCATATGTCTGCTTGTGTTTGCATGCGTGTGTGTGTGTACTTGTGCATGTGTCTGCATGTGTGTGTGCATGTGTTTGTGTGTGCACGTGTGTGTGCGCGTGCACGTGCATGTGTCCGCATGTGTGTGTATGCGTCTGTGTTTGTGTGCACGTGTGTGTATGTGCACATGCATGTGTCTGCGTGTGTGTGTGCATGTGTCTGTGTGTGTGTGCATGCGTCTGTGTGTGTGTGCATGCGTCTGTGTGTGTGTGTGTGTGTGTGTGCATGTGTCTGCGTGTGTGTGCATGCGCATGCATATGTCTGCTTGTGTTTGCATGTGTCTGTGTGTGTGTGTGCATGCGTCTGTGTGTGCATGTGTCTGTGTGTCTGCATGCGTGTGTGTATGCACGTGTGTGTGTGCATGCGTATGTGTGTGTGTGTGCGCATGCGTCCATGTGTATGTGTGTGTATGTGCGCGTGCATATGTCTGCGTGTGTGTGTGCATGCGTCTGTGTGCTTGCGTCTGTGTGCGTGTGTGTGTGCGCATGCGCATGTATTTGTGTGCCTGTGTGTGCGCATGTGTGTGTGCGTGTGTGTGTGTAGGAGTGTTCTTTTGGTTCTTTCTCTGAGCCAGAAGGCCTGGATTCAAGTCCCACCTGCTCCAGAGTTGTGTAATAACATTTCTGAATGGGTTGATTGGAAAATATCTGGACAGTCTGATGCATCCTTCTTGTAGCAACTATAAGGGAACCATTTAGAATTTGGTCACCCTTTGGACAAAATAATAGATTCTTAAAGTTGTGAAAATTCAGAAACAACTTTTGAGACAAAAAAGACACTGGAGAAGCGTCCCACAGGGAATTCCAGAATTATTAACCTTATTTTGTGGGACAAAAGTTAAGATAGCAGCAATCTGAAGTTTGATCATTTAAGGCTTTGAGATACCACCTTAAATCAGAGCTCCCCAGGAATATCTGAGACAACATCCTCAAAAACGTCCTTTCAACTCAACAGAAAGCTTTTCATAAATTAACCATGTCCTGCCAAAAGTGTCCAGGCAGGTTATAGCCGTGGTAACTGCAGCCATGTTGAGGGAACAAGAAACCTCTCTCCCTCTCGATCTCTGTAACTCTCAAAACCTATTCTAGTTACTGAGGCTACCTGTGCAAGCCAACTCCAACTATTCAACAAATCTAATTAGTCGTTCTTGATAAGTCAACCCTTTTATCCCAGGAATCAGCCTGGTGAATTTCCTTTGAACTGCCTCCAATGTTAGTATATCCTTTTTTAATATAGAGACCAAAAGTTCCAGGTGTGGCCTTACCAACACCCTATATCGTTATTACGACACGTGTCTATTTTTAATTTCCAACCCCATAGCATAGATAGAAGGGTGAGTTGTGAAAAAGACATAAGGAGGCTATAAAGGGATATGGTTAGGTTACATGAAAGGGCAAAGATATGACAAATGGAATATAATGTGGAGAAATTGTCCATCTTGGCAGGACAAATACAAAGGGACATACTTGTACAGAGACAAAAGTACAAATTTGTGAGAAATTACAGAGCTCTTAGATGCAGAATGATCTGGATGTCGAGTGCATGAATCACAAACTGTTGATATGCAGGTAATTCGGAAAGCAAATCCTTCATTACTAGAGAAAATGAATGCAAACTTAGAGAGGTTATTCTTCAGTTATACAGGACAATAATCAGACCGTGTCTGGAATAATGTGTACAATATTACCCTCTTTATTTGAGGATGTAAATGCATTAGAAGCAGTTTGGAGGAGGCTAACTGGACTAATAGCTAAAGTGGGTGTGTTATCTTATGAGGAAGGACTGGACAGGCTAGGCTTGTATCCAGTGGAGTTTAGAAGAACAAGAGGAAATTTGATGAAACAAATCTTGATAGATGCGGAGAGCATTGGAATCTCCTTCAGGAGAATGTAGAACTAGGGAGTCACTATTTAATAATAAAGTGTTGTCAATTTAAGACAAAGGTAAGGAGGACTTTTTTTCTCTCAGAGGGTTGTGTTCTTTGGAACTCCCTTCATCAAAGGATGGTAGAAGCAGAGTCTTTGAGTATTTTAAGGCAGAGGTAGATCAATTTTGATAAGCAAGGGGGTGAAAGGTTATTGGGAGGGCTGGAATGCAGAGTGGAGTTTGCAACCAAATCAGTCATGGTCACATTGAAAGGCAGAGAAGATCTGAGGGGCTGATTGGTCTATTCCTGCTCCTAATTCATATGTTCTGAATTTAATTTGTTTCCTTAACAGAAGGTCCTGGAACTTCTAATATTCAAATCATTCTTCTTGCCGATCAGTCTTGAAGCCTTAGTGTCAGCTTTTTCACTGCTAACTATAACTTGTATGTTTTGAGAGGATGTCCTGAAACATCTAGTCCTTAATCTTCTGGCCAATCAACACTGCAGCTTTGGCTCTCCTTTATCCTTAAGCTAGAGTCTCTAGAGCATAAATGAGCCTGGCCGATTCGCTTCAGGTGTTAGTATTTGGCACTTAATGAGAAGCTGACTTTTGACATTTCCTTCACAACATGCCCCAAAATTCAAGTATTTTCCAATAATACGCACCAATTAAGAATTTTCCTCGCTAAGCTTACATGTAGGACAATTTGATAATTCTACAAATGTGCCAAAGAGGTAACATCTAAAAACATTAACTTATTAAATAATATTTTCAGAACCTCGACCAGTGACATCCGAAGGAAATACAGCGAATACAGATTTTCTGAAAGACGGCTCAGGAGTTGATGCTTGGGCTACACCCTGACGCCAAATTGCTTCTCAACTATGAGGATACAAGAGAGGTGGATGGGGATGAAGTTTACCATTAAATATAGGAATACAGTTATTACGTGCTCTCTCCCCCAGTGTCAAGAAAGTACTTAACAAAATGGAGTGAGTCTTCCCCTTCGGTCCCTTTTAAAGCATGGTCTTTGGCAATACAGTTACTGGATATGATTCCAGTCCTCACCCTTTTATATATTTGATCCTGGGATATGAGTGACGATAGCAAGACAGCATTTATTTCCAATCCCCATTTGCCCTGGTGAAGGTTGTGGTGGTGACTGTACACCCCTTTTACTTTCCCAGATCCTTGCAGAGGACTGCTCTCAAATACATATGGAGTAATCAGCAGAGCAGCACATAAAATATTTTCCGTCAAGATGGTATTGTGTTTTGTGAAAGTAGCCCCCACACCCCAAACACACACCCACCCCCAGCACCCCCCCTTTCCCCTGTTGCCCTTTCCTACCCCCAACTTCTTCAGAACTTCTTCCAAACCCCTTATAATTCAGCAGAAGACTTTACTGCAGCATAAGTTTTGGACCTTCGGGGCATGCCACTTCAGTGAAATAATCAGAAATGCTGGATTTTGAGATATGCTTTTATTTGGATGGCTATACGTTAAACTGACAGTTTTGCCATCATTACAACCAAAGATTCCACAGGTAACTTCATCTATTGTTTGTGATTATTAGAGCTGCTTAATTTGGCTGATCCATGTGCCTACCTATTAGTGACTGCAATTCAATTGAATGTACATGCAGAGGCTTACAATAAATGCAAGATCTTTCCAATAACTAAAGACATTGTTTAAATTGAGTAATCTGTTTGTTTTGATGTTGTTGATCTCAGCTAATGCTCTGATGCTTTTATCATTACAATATTGTTGTTCTGTTGCTGTGATTACTCTTTGCTTGTTCAGAATCAGTAAAATGAATTAGCAGCAATCAAGTTACATCCTATGCAATTCCTTGTCTGACACAGGTCAAATAAATGGTGTTTATACCAGCACTGAAATATTTGTTCTCTTATTAAGAATTGTTCTCTCTTTCTCCCTCTCTCCTTCATTTTCTGGATTTTCCCTATACCCGGCAAAATGTTTTGTTCTCTTTTAGTCCTTCAACTCAACCAGCAACTTCCCACCAACAGTACAAACACAATTAACCCAGTATGTTAATAACAAAGGATACAATTTTAGAAAGATCAAATGTTATGATTCGAGCTTTCTCCTAATTGTTTTTTTGATAAAATTCTCACAGAAAAAGGTGGATTCCATAAGAACAGATAGAATCCTTGAGATGAATGAAACCTATAACTGTCTACATGTTATGGGTGGCATTGTGCATTCTGGAACCTATAATTATCCTTTATTACAGTGTAATGCAGGTAGGGTGATAATTACACTCTCTTGTGTGCTCTGAAAGGCAGTAAATGTCACACTGTCACTTTACTACATTCAAGCTAAGCCTGATAAATTTATTTATCAATGAGATAATTCAGCATAACAAGAAATAAATGCTTAACAAATGTCTTTGAAAAAAAGAATAAATTAAGAGCAGTCTACAAGAGATTAAAATAAATTGCCCACATAACCTGGAATTTTTTTTTTAGAAAGAAACAATCTTCTGTAAGAGTTTATGATGTGATGTCAATAAATAAACATTTCTTTCAATTTCATGGCACTCATTTTGCAAGTCCAGAATGTGTAACTTGATTAGAACCTAAACAAAAATTGATCAACAGTTATGACAAACATCTATTAATGCTGTAGATATTAATGTCAGGACATAAATTATGTTTAGCTCAGTTCCATTTCCTGACATGTTGAACATTAGTAATTTTGAATTCCCCTATAAAATTAAATTATTTGACATTTGTCAGCAGTTAAATTGATTTTCTTACCTCAATTTCAGTCTACAAATCAAATACTCATACATCCTACAATCAGTACAGAAGTAATAACTGTGCAGAAAATCTGATGTAAAGCCTTTCGTGTTATTTTATGATACAGTGGGTGACATTTAGGAAAGTACAACTTCTGCAAATATAATTAAACAAAAAATCAGGAAAGGTACCTACTTCGTCGTTATCAACTTGAAAGACATTACTGCTTTGGACATAAAATTCCAATTGATGAAACACTTTTGGAGTTCTCGAATAACTTTGACAAGGTCTCTCATAGATTGCCTAATAGTTACAGGGAGACAGAGAATAGGATGCTGTTACCAGGTAGATAATTGACAAATGATAAGATTTGAGACTGGAAAAGCATTATGAAGGAGATGATGTAGCCCTGAGATCATTATTGGCCTTTTCAATTCTTAAGAATTTGGTAAATGTATGAAAACTTCAGCACGTAACTCGTCTATAACAAAGAGGAAACCAGATACTTGGCCAGAGACAATATAAATCTAAAGTGTGAAGACTGTTAGAGATCGCTGTGTGCAATTTGGGACATGCAGAAATCAGCAGGATATTACTGCCATTGAGATGATACCAAGGGGAGTACAAAGATCATTCTGAGTATCAGGAATTTAAGTTTTAAGTAAAAACTAAGGGATGTTTCAAAATTGAGGCACTTTGAATTTCTTTTGACAAAATGTAAGGCTTGGACTTCCTTTTTGCTGGGCGATTGGCTGTTTGCTATCCTAACCCCAACAGTACCTCAGAGATATGTGTAGGTACACATGAGGTTCTAGGCACAACAGTGAGCAAAGAAAAGTTCACATTACGTGAGACACACCGGTCTCGCAGATTGTTAAACTAATTCACTACAAAGTCTCAGAAAGATCCAAGGCTATGAAAAGGTAAACTTTCGGAAACCTGACAGGAGCACAGATGTCCACCATGAAAATGTCACTAAAAGGGAGATTGACAAATAGGGCTTTTGCCACGGCCTCATGGGCCACTGCTAGCCCTGACTGGGCATAAGGCAGAGAAATAGAGTGGAATTTAAACCACCCACAGATCTTTCACCAAAATTATGGAAAGTGAGAGAAAGATTCCCACAGAAACTTATCCCCAATGGATCTCAAGAGGTGAGTGTGCAGAAATGGGCAAAAGGGCTTTTATTTTCTGTTGGGCAGGGAAAGTGGATATAAGGCTTGATGTGTCTGTATAGTCAAAGACTCCATTACACTTGAGTCACACAGACACAGATACAAACATGCTGTGCATATGAAGCATGATTGACAACACACATGCATCAGAACTAGTGATACTAATTGGCCAGATATTGAAGCCTATTTTGATCAGTGTATTCCACACACCATTATAGACACAACATATACATACTACGTTCCTTTCTGTCTTTTCCATCTTTTCTCACAACTGCCACTCGTACTTAAATCACACCTTTAACATAATAAGGCACTTCACAGGAGGAGCACAAAACAAAATCTGACACATACCCACATAAGGTACTATTGGACAGGAACATGATCAAAAGATTGGACTGGGATCAGTTCTGAGGTTTGGCAGAAAGAATGAAAGAAAAATAATGAGACAGTGAGATACCTTGGAGGGAGTGCCAGAGCTTAGCATTTTGGCAGCTGAAGACACAGCTACTAATTGGGGACAAATTAAAATCAAGATTCTGAAGAGAATAGTATTGGATTATCAGCATTAAGTCACTAGGTTATAGATCTCTCTCCCTCCCTCTATCTCTACCTGAAGCATTCTTATTGTTGTAGGTTGCTACATATGGCTCTGTAATGCCATTATACCACAATAGGACAAGTCAAGATCAAGCCTCGAGAACTGCATAGCTGTTAGAAAAATTGAACCCACACTATCAGTGTTATTAATTAATACACTCTGATCAACTGAGCTAAATGGTTCTGATAAGCATAGGGTCGGGCCAAATGTTGGAAGACTTTGAAAGCAAGGATGAGTATTTTGAAGTCAAAGTGTTACTTGACGAAAGCTAAAGTTGGCCAACAAGTACAAGAGTGAGGATAACAGATCAACCATGATCTCATTGAGTGACAGGGTAGACTTGAAGGGCTGAATGGCCTGCTTCTGCTCCTAAGTCATATAGTCTTGTGATGAGCACATAGAACTCAATGTGAGTGAGGGCATGGGCAGACCTCATGTTTGAATGAGCTCAAGTTTACAGATTAATAGTCACACTAATTTATAGGCTAATAGTCTGACACAAATATGAATTCTGCTTCAAACAATCAGCCCTGAGGTAATAGTTGTGTTCACTGTTTTTATTTGTTGATTCTGTAACAGGATTATAATGCATCTAGGAACAGTAATCAAGTGTAATCAGTATGCTGGATGCAAGCTGCTTAGTACATTCTCCACTCTTGAACGCAGTAAGATCACCAGAATTTTCTGTAAATTTCCAGTCTGTCAACATAAATCCTCTGAAAATCAGCAATATTTGGATGAAAGTTGCAACTAGTTTTCAAAAGATGGAGTGAGGTGATCAAGTTGACCGTGGGATTTGTTCTTTAAACTTGGGTAGTGCTCACATAGAATGGACTCTAGCGTCCTGGATGCCTTATACATACTTAGAATCACCTTCTTCTCAGAACTAAATGGTGCAGAATCATATTTAAGTCATTGCCATATCTGCAGAATAAAATAAAACATTACAATGAATCACAATGGCAAGAAGGCGAGAACGGGGTAAGTGTTGTTGCAGCCACTCTGTAAATATATTCCCTGTGGTCAGATTCCACGTGAAATGTGAACATGACTCTAAAGAATGTGTCCGAAGGAACTACAATAAGTGCATTCATAATCTTGCTAGATAGCCACCAACAAAACTCCTGAACCATTCTTTAGACTGAAGAGAAATTGATGACTCATTTTGAGGAACTACATAATGCTACACGCAGCAAGGTGGCTCAGTGGTTAGCACTGCTGTCTCACAGCCCCAGAGGCCCGAGTTCAATTCCATCCTCTGGTGACTGTCTGTGTGGAGTTTGCACGTTTTTCCTGTGTCTGCGTGGATTTCCTCCAGTGTTCCAGTTTCTGCCCAAAGATGTGCAGGTTAGATGGATTGGCCATACTAAATTGCCCATAGTGTCTGGGGATGAGCAGATTAGGTGGTTTACCCATGGCTAATGCAGGCTTACAGGGATAGGGTGGATCTGGGTGAGTAGCTCTTCAGAGGATCAGTGTGGACACAATGGGCCAAATGGCCTGCTTACACACCGTAGGGATTCTATGATAACCCAAGTCATGCATTATGTAGACTTCAGTTTTGGGCCGCAAGGCTTTATTATGGGTGTGTACCAGTGCTGGGGCTAAAACTGCTTTGTGGTATATCGTGGAACAAAGCAGTGGGGAGGGCGCACAGAGACAGCTATGGAGGAAAGAACTTTAGGTCATGGTGTGCACTGTGATGCGAGGAAGATCAGAAATTGCTTCATGAAACATTATAGAAGGAACTCTGACTACTAAATAGACTACTGATCTAGGAGTGTTTCAGGCTGATAACCAGATGTCAAATACCAGCACCAATGTTTATTAAATTAAACAGGATTGCAAAAGACTTGCTATTCCCCGCAGCCTGTTTTTATTTAAACGGAGTCGTAGTGCAAGCTCAGTGTGGAGAAGGTGCATGGATCAAAGCTGTTTTTGTCAGAAAATAAGAGCATGAAGGTCCCTGGCAGACATATGTCACTTTGTCAGGAACTGAATTTCTAAACCAATTGAAAAAGTATCTAATTCAATTTGATAGCCCCAGAGGACAGCTTTGTACTGTATTAGAGTTACACAATGGCCAGTCGGCAGCTCTTACCTGTACAGCTCGGTGGTTCCTGGTTCCACTGTCCATTACTCAGACAAGTTATTGTGTCCTCTCCCACCAGTTTGAATCCAGACTCACAGCTATACCTGACCGAGGACTGACAGATCGAGAAATGGGCATGCTCAACAGCTGGGACAGAGCTGCAGGGGGTCACTGTAAAGGAGTAAATAAAATAAATGCTAGAGTGAGGTTCTAAGCACAGAACC